GTCTAGACATTGTTAGTGATTAAGAAGTGGGGGAAATTTAGACTTGTTTGACATGTAAGAATGAAGGGAATTTTGAGCATTGTTGTGACGACAATGTGGGAAATCTAAGAAAATTGTTAGTATGTTAGAATGTGGGAGGTGAAAATTGTTTGTATGTAAGAAGTGGGAAGTGAGACATGTTAGGAGCAAGAAGAGGAAAGTGGAAAATTGTTATGATGTAAGAAGTGGGAAATGAGGCATTGTTTGCGATGTAAAAGTGGGAAATGAGACATTGTTTTTGACGTAAGAATATGGGAAATAACTTTTTTAGTGTTAAAAAGTGGGAATGAGACATTATTAGTGATGTAAAATGTGGGAAATCTAACTTGTTAGTGATGTAAAATGTGGGAAGTCCAGAATTGTTAGTGATGCAAGAATGTGGGGGGTGAGACATTGTTAGTGTGAAGAAAGTGGGAAGTCTGAGCATTGTTATGAGTAAGAATGTGGGAAGTCAGACATTGTTAGGGGTTTTAAAAGTGGGAAGTCTAGACATTGTTAGTGATGTAAAATTAGGAAGTCTGAGACTTGTTAGTGATGTAGAATGTGGGAAATCGGGCATTGTTAGGATGTAAGAAGTGGGGGGTCTGAGACATTGTTATTGTGTAAAAAAGTGGGGGTCTGAGACTTGTTAGTATGTAAAAATGTGGGAAGTTTAGACATTGTTAGTGATTAGGAATGTGGAAGTCGAGCATGTTAGTGATGTAAAAATGTAGGGAAATCTGAGACATTGTTTGTGATGTAGGGAAAGTAAAGTCGAGACATTGTTAGTGATTAAGAATGTGGGAATCTGAGACATTGTTTTTGTGAAGAAGTAGGAAATCTGAGACATTGTTAGTGATGTAAAAATTTTGGGAAATCTGAGACAATGTTAGGATGTAAGAATGTGGGGAAATCTGAACATTGTTATGTGTAAAATGTGGGAAGTCTGAGCATTGTTTTGATGTAAAAATGTGGGAAATCTGAGAATTTTTTATGATGTAAGTTTTGGGAAACTGAGACATTGTTAGTGATGAAGAATGGGAAGTCTAGACATTGTTAGTGATTTTAAGAAAGTAGGGAAATCTGAGACATTGTTATGATGTAGGAATGTAGAAGTTGGGTTGTTAGGAAGTAGGAATGTAGGAAGCTGAGACATTGTTAAACACTTTTTCACATATTTTCATCTTTTTAAAAAAATGTCATTTTAAAAAATGTAAAACTCATTCTATTTTCTAGAGAAAATTTAAATTGGAATCAAGAATTTATTTCCTTTTGGTGTGTGGTTTTGTGTGTGTGTGTGTGTGTGTGTGTGCTTTTGTGTGTGTGTGGTGTGTGTGTGTGTGGTGCAAGTGTGTGTGTTGTTATCCTAAAAGTGGTTGCAGGGGGCGAACTCAGCTCCTGGCCCCCCCTCTTTACTGACGCTACTGGGTCCTCTCTCTCTCTCTTGCTTTCCCGGCTTTGCATACCTCTTTTTAAAACTATGTTGGTTCCTGCCCCCACTACTTCACTTGCTAGGCTATTCCACTTGTGGCAACTCTATGCTGAAGAAATACTTCCAACGTCCCGTGACCGTCTGAGTCTTCAGCTTCCAGTTTTTGAACCCTTTTCCCGTGTCCCTCCTGGAAAAATCCTATTCTGTCCACCTTGTCTATTCCCCCCAGTATCTTGATGTCGTTATATGCCTCCCCTGACCCTTTTGTCCTCCATGTCGTCGTCCGATTTCCCTGTGTGTGTGTGTGTGGTGTGTTTGTGTGTCTGGGTGTTCTGTGTGTGTGTCTGTGTGTGTGTCTGTTGTGTTGTTCTGTGTGTTTGTGTGGTGGCATGTGTGTGTGATGTGTGTGGTGGTGTGTCTGTGTGTGTGTGTGTGCTTGGATAGTGTGGGTATGTTGTGTGTGTGTGTGTGCTGTACTCACCTATTTTTGGCTGCGGTTCGAGTCTTAGCTCCTGGCTCCGTGGTGTTATGTGTGTGGTGTGTGTTCTGTGTTGTGTGTGTGCTTGGAATGTGTGTGTTATGTGTGTGTGTTGTTTTGTTGCTTACTCACCTTTTGTGGTTGCAGGGTGAGTCTTGTCCTGGGTCCTGTGTGTGTGTGTGTGTGTGTGTTGTGTGGGGTGTGGTGGTTGTGTGTGTGTGTGTGTGTGTGTGTGAGTGTGTGTATGTGTGGTTGTGTGTGTGTTATGTGTTATTGGTGTGCGTATGTGTGTGTGTGTGTGTGTTTTTGTGTGGTGTGTGTGTGTGGTGTTGGTTTTGTGTGTGTGTTTTGGGTAGTTGTAGTGTTGTATGTGTGTGTGGGGATGTGTGTTTTGTTATGTGTGTGGGTGTGTGTGTGTGTGGTGTGTATTTTGTTGTGGTGTGTGTATTATGTGTGTGTGGTGTTATGTATGTGTGTGTGTATGTTGTGTGTTGTGGTAGTGTGTGTGTGTTATGTGTGTTGTGTGTGTTGGGGTGTTGTGTGTATGTGTGTGTGTGTATTTTGTATGATTGATGTGTGTGGTTGGTTTTATTGTAGTGGTGTGTGTGTGTGTGTGTGGTAGTGTGTGTATTGTGTGTGTGTATGTGTGGTGTGTGTGTGTGTGTGGTGTGATGGTATGTGGGGGTTTTGGGGGTTGTGGTGTGTGTGTTTTTGTGTGTGTATGTGTGTTGTGTGTGTGTAGTTGTTGTGTGTGGTGGTGTATGTGTGTGTGTGTGTGTGTATGTGTGTGTGTGTTGTTATGTGGGGTGTGTGTTGGGTGGTGTGTGGGTTTTTGTTGTGTGTGTGTGTGTGTGTTGGGTGTGGTGTTGGTGTTGGGGTTGTGGTGTGTGTGTTGGGTGCGTGTGTGTGGTGGTGGGTGTGTGTTGGTGTGTGTTGGGGGTGGTGTGTGTGGTGTGAGGGGAAATGAAAATATGAGAATAAAGACAAAATTGTTTAAAAAAATTGTTTTAAAATTTTTTTTACCTAAATTATATCTTTAATAAGATAATTTCATATTTTTCCTTCTTTACCTGCCCACAAGTGTCTCAAACTAGAACTTTACCTGACCCACAAGTGTCTCAAACTAGTAACTTTAAACATGACCCACCAAGTGTCTCAAACTATTAATTTTACCTGACCCACAAGTGTCTCAAACTAGTAACTTTACCTGACCCACAAGTGTCTCAAACTCTAACTTTACCTGACCCACCAAGTGTCTCAAACTAGTAACTTTACCTGACCCACAAGTGTCTAAAACTAGTAACTTTACCTGACCTACAAGTGTCTCAAACTAGTAACTTTACCTGACCCACAAGTGTCTAAAACTAGTAACTTTACCTGACCTACAAGTGTCTCAAACTAGTAACTTTACCTGACCCACAAGTGTCTCAAACTAGTAACTTTACCTGACCCACAAGTGTCTCAAACTACAACTTTACCTGACCCACAAGTGTCTCAAACTAGTAATTTTACCTGACCACAATTGTCAAAAAACAGTAACTTTACCTGACCCACAAGTGTCTAAAACTAGCAACTTTACCTGACCCACAAGTGTCTCAAACTAGTAACTTTACCTGACCCACAAGTGTCTAAAACTAGTAACTTTACCTGACCCACAAGTGTCTAAAACTAGTAACTTTACCTGACCCACAAGTGTCTAAAACTAGTAACTTTACCTGACCCACAAGGGGTCTCAAACTAGTAATTTTAAACCTGACCCACAAGTGTCTAAAACTAGTAACTTTACCTGACCCACAAGTGTCTCAAACTAGTAACTTTTCACACCTTTCATAATGGATGTCTTAAAATACCGAAAACCAACATTCTTCATCATATTATTGAAATATATAAAGTTTCTGATTTACCCAACATTTAGGTAGACTGATTGTTTTTCTACTTCCAAGTTTTCCATTTTATTTTTAAAAGACAAACATAGTTTTAACAACCGTGAGTTAGAGTGCATATATGGACGGGTACAAATTTGTGTACATACGTGTGTGTGTGTGTGTGTGTGTGTGTGTATTTGTGATTACATACATATTAGCGTAAGAGGCAGTGAGTGTGTTTTAAATACGTGTGTGTGTGTGTGTGTTTTGTGTGGTTTTCTGTGTGTGTTTTAGTTACCATTTTGTCCTAGGCACATGTCGATTAGACACTGGGCCTGTTGTATATGAGTATGTGTGTGTGTGTGTGTGTGTGGTGGGGGTTGTGTGTGTGTGTGTGTGTGTGTGTGTGTGTGTGTGTGTGTTAGTTACCATTTTGTCCTAGGCACATGTCGATTAGACACTAGGCCTGTTGTATATGAGTACGTGTGTGTGTGTGTGTGTGTGTGTGTGCTCATGTGCGCAGTTTTATGAGCGTATGAATGACGGTGAACCAACAAGCTTCGTTTACGGAAATGCGCAAATGAGTGTAAAAACAAGTGTATGTGTAAGTTAAGTAAGTTTACTTAGGTAAAAGAAACATGTAAAAACATTTTACACAATCTATCATACATATTAACGAATATGTAAATTACCCAGGATAACCCAAAAAGTCAGATAAAGTGACTTATTAACATTGTGAGCGGCCCTTGTAACTGATCGTTTTCCAAATACATAAGACAAATAACAAAATAAAAACACGAAGTTTAATACTTATTACAGTTATTAAAAAACAAAACATTCACAAATGCACTTAAGCTGCTTATTAAGCACAAAAAGAAACTTATATTTAATGTTGATAAATTGTGTAATATAAATAGAACTCCCAAATTTTCACTAATTTGGCAGGCCTTGGTGGACGAACTGGAGGGTAGTTTTGGCTGCGTCTGGCTGACCTACGTTCTAGACTGTTTTGGGTATGTAACTACAGGACGCAGTTTCCTGTGTGTCCCTTCCTGTAATTCCACCCACCTGGACAGTCTCTACCGTAGACCAGCTAAACAAGGCCTCGTTCTCATCTGGCTAGATCACGGAGGCTGGCTGAGCTGACTTCGGGATAAATAACCTGGGGAAGGCTGAGACTGGAAGATATCCTAAGGGAAGTGAGGAAGGGGAGACATCCGGGGGCCCACGGATGGATTCCTGGACACATGGACCTGGGAAAGGCGAGGATACCTTGGGGAAGTGGGGAAGGGAGAATATCTGAAGGCGGACAGATGGACTCCTGGACACGCGGACCTGGGAGAGACGGAAAGGATACTCACTGGTTGTTGAGGCAGACCTTGGGGAAGTAGGGAAGGGAGAATATCTGAAGGCGGACAGATAGACTCCTGGACACGCGGACCTGGGAGAGACGGAAAGGATACTCACTGGTTGTTGAGGCAGACCTTGGGTGTGCAAGGTTGGGGTGTGGGGGAAGTGGGGAAGGGGGAGCACCTGGCGTCACACAGGAGGACTCCTGGAACCACGGACCCGGGGGGGGGAGTGCAAGGTTGGGGTGTGGGGAAGTGGGGAAGGGGAGCACCTGGCCTTCGCACAGGTGAACTCCTGGAACCACGGACCCGGGGGGGGTGTGCAAGGTTGGGGTGTGGGGGTAGTGGGGAAGGGGGAGCACCTGGCCTTCGCACAGGTGAACTCCTGGAACCACGGACCCGGGGGGGTGCAAGGTTGGGGTGTGGGGTAGTGGGGAAGGGGGAGCACCTGGCCTTCGCACAGGTGGACTCCTGGAACCACGGACCCGGGGGGGGCAGTGCAAGGTTGGGGTGTGCGGGAAATGGGGAAGGGGGAGCACCTGGACTTCGCACAGGTGAACTCCCCGGAACCACGGAACCCGGGGGGGTGCAAGGTGGGGTGTGGGGGTAGTGGGGAAGGGGAGCACCTGGCCTTCGCCACAGGTGAACTCCTGGAACCACGGACCCAGGGGGGGGTGCAAGGTTGGGGTGTGCGGGAAATGGGAAGGGGGCAACCTGGGCCTTTGCACAGGGGGACTCCTGGAACCACGGACCCGGGGGGAGTGCAAGGTTGGGGTGTGGGGGAAGTGGGGAAGGGGAGCACCTGGCCTTCGCACAGGTGAACTCCTGGAACCCCGGACCCGGGGGTGCAAGGTTGGGGTGTGGGGTAAGTGGGGAAGGGGAAGCACCTGGCCTTCGCACAGGTGAACTCCTGGAACCACGGACCCGGGGGGGTGTGCAAGGTTGGGGTGTGGGGGAAGTGGGGAAGGGGGAGCACCTGGCCTTCGCACAGGTGAACTCCTGGAACCACGGACCCGGGGGGTGGTGCAAGGTTTTGGGGGGTGGGGGGAGTGGGGAAGGGGAGCACCTGGCGTCACACAGGTGGACTCCTGGAACCCGGACCCGGGGGGGGGTGCAAGGTTGGGGTGGGGGGGAAGTGGGGGAAGGGGGGGCACCTGGCCTTCGCACAGGTGAACTCCTGGAACCACGGACCCGGGGGGGGGTGCAAGGTTGGGGTGTGGGGGTAGTGGGGAAGGGGTAGCACCTGGCCTTCGCACAGGTGAACTCCTGGACACGCGGACCTGGGAAAGACGAAAAAGGATACTCACCGGCCGTCGAGGCAGACCCTGGGGAAGTGGGGAATTGAGAATGCCTGAGGGGACACAGGCGGACTCCTGGACACGCGGACCTGGGAAAGACGAAAAAGGACACTCACCGGCCGTCGAGGCAGACCCTGGTTAAAGGGCGACCTATGAGTAACCATGAAGAAATAAAGTGGGGGACCCTTGAGTAAAAATGTAAGAAGTTTGTGTTAACCCATCAATTACTTGATCTGAGACAAGATTTCCGTAAGCTGGTTGGAACATGAAATATCGATCTGGTACGTTGATATGACTTAGAACATTTAATGAACAATTTGATCAGAAAGGGAACACATGTTGAACACTGTGATCTGGAATAGAACGCTCATTGAACATTCACATAAAACGCAAAATGTTGTTCACTCCATATAGACACACATAATGGGGATGGTTGGAAGTGAGTTGTGGGAAGAGACGGTTGATGATAAGCTGAAGATGAGCTGAAGATGGTGAAGATGGTTGAAGATGGTGAAGATGGTTGAAGATGGTGAAGATGGTTGAAGATGGATTGAAGACGGTGAAAATGATATTGTTGAAGCTGAGTTGAAATTTTAATAGTTAATGAGGATTTATAGTAAAGGATACTTAATAAACTGTGTGTTAATTTCTTGGCCACAAAGTACATACACGAGATTAAATTATGATAGAAAAGAAAACAGTTTTGTGACGAATTGTGTTGGTCAGCTCAGGTGTGTTGCCTACGTTTTTCTCTTCCATTGTGTTGTGTCTGGAGTTTGATGTGACCTACATCTTTATATGCCATACCAGGTCATTCTTATAGGCCATACCAGGTCATTCTCATATGCTATACCAGGTCATTCTTATATGCCATACAGGTCATTCTCATATGCCATACCAGATCATTCTTATATGCCATACCAGGTCATTCTCATATGCTATACCAGGCCATTCTTACATGCCATACCAGGTCATCCTTATATCCCATACCAGGTCAAACTTATATCCCATACCAAGTCATCCTTATATCACACACCAGTTCATCCTTATATCAATAACT